AAGGGCAAAATGGGTCAGCACAGGCTGGGAGGGCCGAAGGGCCTGTTCCTGTGCTCTTTGTCCTGTTCTACAGTCGTTGGTTTCCTCCACTGCTTTCCAGAAAGTTTGGTTTCCCCTCTGTCAGTCGACGTGCTCTCACTACAGGATCTCTCGCGCCTGAGGCTATCTGATCCTGCACTGGATCGTCCTCTCGATGCCCAGAGTCACTTATTAAACAGCAAACTCTCTTCTTCTCCTCTTAAACTTTGGATCCTAATATCGAAAATTTATTCCTCATAATTCGACCCTGCCTTCAAGTCAGTCTCATTTCACAGGCCCTTCGGAGGGATTTAAGGTGGAACAAACTTCTGAACAGCCTATCACCAACAGCGGTCAGAGTGTAGCAGCTCAGGGGAGCGAGACATTGAATTAACCTCCCGAGTCCCATATGGCTCTTGGTTCGGAAATGAAGAGAGAGGGGTGGGAAAATGGCGGACTACAGGCTACAAAAAAGGTTGTCACGTCTCCACGCCTAGCCCCGTCGCAGACGGTGCTCAATGCTCGCTGGAGGAGCCCTCGATTTCCCGGCTCTTACGGCCTTCGGGATTCTTTTAGTAGCTGTGCCTCCGTCACGGTTCATCAACGGTCAGCTTGCGCATGATGATACACACTCAGTAGGCACGGTGTAACGCATCTTTGCCGGAACTGGTTGTATGAAGGCTGACCTGAAGCGAGTTGCGCTAAGGCCAGAGGTCACCTGGCTACGGCAAGTCAGGAAAGCGCATTTGTAACCATTCCCGTCCAGGGACCTTCTCTGAAACCGCCTCCCAGGCCACCGTGCCCCACCCAGGCTGTTCCATCCTTCCCGCCAGTGCGCGCCCAGAGTCTGAACAGGACCGTCACAAAAGCTTACAGAAATTTCCGTGGCCGAGAGTAACTCACGTATTCTTTGTAGATGAGTATTGCGTATTTAATGCGCAAGTCCTCAACTCCATCATTCGCCATGTCGATCAGAGCGGCCTCAGTTGAGTCCTTCCCATACAGGCCTTGAACAAATACGGGAGACTAAATCAGTTGCCTCAGAGAGTCGTCGATTCAGATCGGGGGGGTGGGGGTCTCACACGGTCACCCACAGGTGGGCAGAGCTCAGGCTCCACCTTTCGGGTCTGCAGGTAAGGCAGTGGGCAGTCAACCAGGGAGGCCTCAGGCTCCAGCTGGTGGGAGGGTTACAGGCCCCAGCCAGGCAGTAGGCCCCAGGCTTCAGCCCGTCTGGGTACCCTCAGGCTTCAGCTGGTGGGAGGGTTACAGGTCCCAGCCAAGTAGTAGGCCTCAGGCTTCAGCTGGTGGGTTGGCCATGGATTTGTGCCAGAAAGGTAGGCCTCAGGCTCAAGCAGGTTTGAGCTAGCGGACTGGACTCCAGATAATAGCACAGGCGAAGGCAACAATGCACCTTGTGGTGGGTAGGCCTCATGCTCCAGCTGGCTAGGTAAGAGGGTACAGACTCCATCCAGGTGTGTCGGCCTCTGGCTTTAACACGTGGGTAGGCCTCAGGCTGCAGACCATGGGTTAAGTCAAGTAGAGGTGAGGATCATGAGGGTCACTGGTTCCAGCCAGTGTGTAGGCCTCAGGGTCCAGAAAGGCGGGAAGGCTTACTCCAGCCAGCTGTTTAGGCCTCAGGCTGAGGTCAGGTGGGAACGCCTCAGATAGGCCTCAGGCTCTCTCCAGACAGGTAGGCCTCAGGATCCAGCTGGTCAGGTAGCGGGCGTGTTGACATGGAATTAATCTAGATACGTTTGGCCGTGGGAGCGTGTGGATTGTGCCAATGGACCCGCAGCGGTTCGGGAATTGTAGCCCAACTCCACCTGCTCCGCGGCAAATAGGGGCGAGGGGATAAGTGCCGGGCCCGGTCCCCGGTGTGACGTGGGAAAGGAAGCACTCACCATGTTGCCGGGCCAGGTGGCGGAGAATGGCGTTCGATTGGAAAAGCTCAAAGCTGCCATCTTGGAATTTAGGCAGTTGGCCAAAGACCTGGAAGGAAATGGAGAGAGGGAGGGAGAGGGAGAGAGAGAGCGAGAAAGTGAAGGAACGGAGAGAGAGAGAGAGAGACCGTCGATGACAGCTTTGTTGTTGGAGGCCACACCTGACTCCTTCAGAGGGAGGGTGACCTTACAACAACAACACATTACATTTGGATAGCGCCGATTACGTAACACACAGACCCAGGGACCAAGAACGGGCCCTCAAGGCGGCTCTGCCAGTCAGTCGGATCACAGCTCGTCGGTCAATCGACAGGCCCCCAACCCCCATCACTCTCTGCCTACAGCCCCCACCCCCTCCATCTGCTTCCCCTCCAACACTAAACCCCGACCCTCACCCTCCAACCCCCA